GAGAGAGAGAGAGAGAGAGAGAGAGAGAGAGAGAGAGAGAGAGAGAGAGAGAGAGAGAGAGAGAGAGAGAGAGAAAGAAGAGAGGTAGAGAGAGGCTACTTTCATCGATAGGATGAGCGAAATCGGTATGAATCTTCCACTAGAATATGGAAATATACACTGCTGTCCAGCCATGCGTGCAGAGAGAGAGAGAGAGGCTACTTCCATCGATAGGATGAGCAAAATCGGAATGAATCTTCAGCTAGAACATGGAAATATACACTGCCACATTTTATTTTTATTTTTATTTTTTTTGTGTGTGTGTGTCAGAGAGAGAGAGACACACACACAGAGAGGGAGAGAGAACACGTAAGTCTCCATATCTTTTTGGTCTTTTGTGCATTGAATCCGAGTACGCTAAGACGCGCAGCTATGAACTTGTATCCGAACAGGAGTGGTGCGCCGGCCTCGAGCACGCTGGAAAGGGCTGCTATGAACAGCGCGAATGGAAACAAAGCGGCACCGCAGAAGATTCTTTCTCCAAGCACAAAACAAAACAACCCACCAACCGAGAAGATTCTTTTTCCAAGCACAAAACAAAACAGCCCACCAACCAACTGCACGTGGGGCCAGAAGTCACGGAACACGTTTCATTTTCTGCCCCTTCTGGAAGGTGGCCGAAGGCCGGAAAAAATATGGGCTATTTTTTTTTGGGCGGCCCAGGGCGTGAAAAAATGCCCTGGGCCGCCCAAAACTATATCGGCCGTTGGCCTGGGGGCCCGCCATCCGGACCGGTTACCGGAAACTGGTACCGGATGCCGGACCCCGGAGAGTCCGGATCCCTTTCCGGGGGTCTGGATCGTAGCTATGTTTCATACTTGCGGGGCATGCCGCACGCATGCACGCGCACGTGATGCGACACATCACCAAAAAAAAAAAAAAAAAACGAAAGGACAGGGTGGGATGGCCAGACATGCCCCTTGCTTTTAAAATAAAACTGTGAGAGGAAAAAATGATGGGGCCACGTCATACCCCAAAACTGTGAGTGCACATGTGTGCGAGTGGGTGTGCATGTCCTAATTATGTCCAGTCTCATTTCCGAAGGGTGCCTACAGCGGATTAGCAAGGACCCATCGTGAAGCAGAGATAGGCGTTAGACTTCCAGTTTTGGATGAGCGGGCTGAGAATATATAGTCAGGACTCTGGATTCACATTCAGGTCTGTGTATAAGCGGTTTTGGGTCACTAATTCTCTGTTTGTTCGTTTTTTTATTCTTTTCTTAGGAATATGTCGTGGCCCTAAGGGCCTCTACTCACCACATGCACAAAAGACAAAACATACGGCGGCGTATTATTCCACGTTCCAGCAGGAGATTCATTCTAATTTTGCTTATTTGGTGAGTAGTGCAGCCAAGCCCGCGGTTCGAACCCTGGTGGAATCATATGTATACAATATGTTAGAGGTTACCATTCCCCCTTTTAAACAACCGGGACCTCTCCCAGGCGAACTTCTGCACGATTTTGACTTCCACAAGTTTTTCGGATGAACAATGCTACCGGACCGGACTGAAATGCCAGCCAAAACAAAAAAGGAAAATGTGCCCATGGCGCCGATGATGGCGGTTGATTTCTCTTGGCACACAGTTGAAACGGTTTTCACCTTTTAGCAGTAGCGGATGCAGTACCCAGGGTTCGATCCGTAGACCTCACCCTACCCATGTACAGTATCTGTGTAGACCCCGAGAATTGAACCTGTGACCTGTGTATTCGTAGGCAGTTGGTAGGCCTGTCGTAGGTCCATAGGCAGCAGGGGTTCGATCTGTAGGTCTATAGCGTAGGAGTCTTAGTGAGTTCCGGAAGCTTAGCTGTAGACCTTCTAGAAGGTAGGCAAGTGGGCAAGTGGTCAAGTGGTCAAGTGGTGAGGCAAGTGGTGGACTAAACCGCAGTGCAACAGCAGTACAACGTCGGTAGGATAGCGGTGAATCCACAGTCAGTCCCGGTCCGGTCCAGCAAGTACCACAGGGGGACTATGAGCACCAAGGGCCGATGGCAAAGGGCAGACCAACGAGTTTCTGAAGTATAAATCAAGAGGCAGCGCCCAGCCATTCATTTCATTCYTGCGTGAGCCATGCGGAAGCGCTGCCACAGCGACTTGTGCAAGGAGGTCTGCAGATGAGCCCAGAAGACGCAGTGGGCAAGAGGGGAGGAGTTAGGATAGCGATAGTTTAGAGGCAGCCATAGCTGCCATGTTCACCTTCTTCACTCGAAATGCACAGCTGAGTACGAATCCATCAGCTGGAACCTGATGGATAGAATACGGAATTACCTGTGGCTGGCAGCTTAGAAGATTACATCTCAAGACTGTAGCTGATCAAAAAATCGTACGGGAAAAAAAATAAAAAAATATTACGCATGTAGCTGATCAAAAAAGCATAAGGGAAAAGAAAAAAAAACACTGACATATTAGTATATGATATTACGCAGCTACAAATAATCCCTGATATATCCCAAAAATAGAAGCGGGGGCCTGCTCCTCTCCCTCCTTCTACATTCTTCCCCCGAATACAACGTACGGTCATTATAGCTGAATTTCGGGTATCTTTCAATCTAAATTCAGCTATAATGACCGTACGTTGTATTCGGGGGAAGACTGTAGTAGTGGCAAGTAAGGCTGTAGTAGCTGTTGCATATTAGCCGATGCTCATATCCTTTCAAATGAAGGGATTAAACCACCAGTACTTGGTCCAGCTATCCGCCGTGGAAAGGAATAGAGTAGAAACGTTGCTAGTGGGATGAATTTGGGCACTCCTGTAGTGGCCAGTACATTTACTAAAATTGTGGCGCGTTCGCGGGCACGACTTTAGGAAGTACTGGTGGGGTGGGGTTTAAGTCGATGCAACATTAGTTGGGATGGTTCAAAAAGTACCAATACACACCAACTTCGTGTCCAACTCACATTGCCCAGCAGGCTTGGTGAAGTGATGTTTTCTTTTCTTTTTTTTTTCTTTCGTACGTATGAAGTGTTAATAAAAGGTAAAGCAAATAGTGAAACAAAGACAAGACCTATTGCAGCAACACCTCCTAATTTATTCGGTATACTACGAAGAATTGCATAAATATTAAATAGGTTTCTTTTTTTTTTTTTTTTCAAAACAGCCCGAGGCGGTGCTAGGTGCTGATAAGAGCNGAGTGATGCGTGTGGGATATCCAGGGTGATCCAGTGTATGTGAACAGTGAGATGTTTGGGCGCTGAAGTCGCCATAGCCAATTGAGAGTGAACTCGTATCTGAAAGCCATATCTCTGAGTTTTGAGTGGGCGCATGTCGCCAGTATTCTGCGTTGCTGTTTACATGCATGAAAAGTGTGTTTGAAAACGAGTTTGATTGCACAGTGCAAGTCTGCCATGGAAAAAAACAGGCTCGGAGGTACTGGTGGTTTTAGCTAACCAAGAAAAAGAAAGGAGAAAGAACTGGAGGAAAGCTACGAGGTCATTGTGGACTAACGTAACACGGTGATCGAGTTTGCTGAACTTCCCTCCTGTGGATTTACTCTCAGTCCCTCACAAATCACAGTTGGCCTCCCCTTTTCCAACTTTTTTTGTGAATTTTTATCCTTGCAGGTTATCTCCTCCACTTCAACTTTGGTTGCTGTGCACGATTCGGCACGTCCCTTGATAACTGCCGAAGACACCAGAAGGGTAGGTGTGCAGACTCTGCAGAAATCGGCTTTTTTTTCCTTCCCTCCTTGTTTCACCTGATTTTACGGGATTGAACTTGGTTGAACTTGACTGAACTTGATTTGAAGTTTGATTTGCCCTTTTTGAGGCTTTTTCCCTTTTTTCCCCTTTTTTTTCCTTTTATTTTTTTTTGGGTCGCATGCTTTGTCTGCTCCTTTTTCTTTCCATTGTTTTTGTGGGCAAAAGGCTATAAGCTCAATAGCCACATGAGGTTCTACTATACGGAAAGAAACTGTGTGTATTGAACGCAATGAACGGTAGCTATGGTAGTTTCCTTACGTTCGGGTGAGGCAACACACACAGCTAGAGACATGAGTTGCTGCTCATTCTAGGTGGAAGCCCACAACAGGAATTGGAATTGGTCTCCAAATGCTTCTTTGCTGTTGTTCCTTGTCTCTTGGCCTGGTGTTTGTGTTCGGAAAATGTTTCAAAATAATTCAGAATACTTCAAAATTTAAAAAGTAAAATACCTAATAAAAAAATACTTTCGGAATATTCCAACACAGTACTTTTTCGGATTTTTTTGAAAGAGTACTTTTTAAATTCGGTAGAAATTACTAGAAAGTCAGTAGAAAGTTTATCCGCGCATGTCTGATTAGGTTGCCCCAGGCCTCTTCCTGGTGAGGTTGTCCCCAATGCTGAACTCTGGTTAGCGTTGTACACATCCCTGCTTAGGATGGCCCTGACGCTAAACTCCTTTGGGGTTTTTGCTAATGCCTGCTTAGATTGGCCCTGTGGGTGACGAATGCAATGCTCTCACATGTTCACACGACTTCTCACAACAATACATTGTCAAGCTCACAATTCAGAACACAAAGCTCCATGCAGGAGAGGAGATGTTAACGCGTCGGAAATTTGTTTTTTTTGTTTTTTTTTGTTTTTTTTGTTTTTTTTTTTGTTTTTGTTTGTTCCCGATGGACCACGGATCAGATTTCAAACTGAGCAGAACAGATACAGTGCACTTGATCGTACTTAACCAAAAGGCTGCGAAGGGTAAATTATGCAAAAATTCAAGTCTTATACAACAAAGTGTTGGCATAAACACTTGGATGGCTATGGCTGCCAGCCTCCACAACCAGGTATGTCTCTTGCTCTCTCTCTCTCTCTCTCTCTCTCTCTCTCTCTCTCTCTCTCTCTCTCTCTCTCTCCTCACTGGATGCTTGATGGCACAAGACTGCAAGAGTGCTTCTGTGAGAGGCTGAAACTGTGTTGACATTCTGCTGTGACTGGACTTTTGTTCTTCACAGCAGTTCCCAGCCATTGTCCTTTCCTTCCACTAATTGCTGGGGCGGTCGCCTTCTGACGTGTCCGGAGTTTTCACAGACTTCCTGGGACTGAGCTGCAACTGGACTGAAGAACTGAAATTGTAACGGCCTGGGCACACCAGACTATTCTGACCTACTGAACTTAACTGTATGGACGGGGCCTATGGCACCTACATAACCTACTGGATAGGACTACGTAACCTACTGAATAGGACTACGTAACCTACTGGATAGGACTATGGTACGTGGGACTCTGGACCTCTGGGACCAGATCAATCTGGGACTTAGAAGCTAAGATGTGTGATAAATCCTTTCACTACACTCTCGCCAGGCACTCGTTTTTGTAGACAAAAGAAGGGGTGCGGCAGATGTCTGCAGTCTTTGCTTATGGCATTGGAGCTAGACCCTCTGGCAGCATTTGTTGCTGCTTGGGTGTGGCATACCATGACATTTTGGTTGTCCAAAGGCCAAGACTCGAAGGCACCTTGAAAATAACTAAATAAATAAATAAGTGAACTGTAAACATTATAAAAGTTCAAAAGGGAACAAAACAGGAAGAAGCAAAAGAAAAAGTCGAAAAAAGGAGAAAAATTGTCCAGAATGCTTTGGCAGAATATGATTAGCAGATTAAACTTCACTAAAAAAACTTCGAAAAGGAAAAGAAGGTAGAAACAGGAATTAGAAGAAGATCAACCGAAACATTATGATGATAGGTAACCCATTGGAACTCTAGCTCTATATCATTGGAACCCAGTTCTATGTTCTGGGTTCATCTTTGTTTGTATTGATGAGAGCTGAGATGGCAAAGCCTGCCCTTGCAACAAATCCAGATGAAAAAAAATGATCACCTGCACAAGGCTGATAAACAGGTGGAGCGAAAATGTTTAAAAAAAACAGCAGATATCTCTGGTGAATTGTGTGCATCAGGCTTGAGGCTGGGCTTGTACGGTTTCTGTTTCTTTCTTTCCGATATAAGAACAAGTGGACCCGCCACGAGCAGATGGCTCCGCTCGCGGCGCTGAGGTCGCCAATGTGGAAGCACGTGAGGACACACCGGAGTAGGTAGTCTCTTCCTCACGCCTCCTCCTGCCACTCCCCCTCCTCCCCCCCCCCGCTGCTCCTCACCCATGTTAACTGCCCTTGTCCTCCCGCTCTTCATGCTGCCCCTCCTCCTCCCGTTCTTCTTCCCTTTCGTCCTGCTCCTCCCCCTGATCCCATTCTTGAACAGTTCTTCCTCCCTTCGTTCACTGCCCTCCCCCTGGTCCCGCTCGTCCTCCTCCTCCCGCTGGTTGTCGTTCCCTCTCCTGCTTCCCCCACTGCTGGCTGCCGTTCCCTCTCCTGCTTCCCCCACTGCTGGTTGCCGTTCCCTCTCCTGCTTCCCCCACTACTACTCCCTCCGTTCACTGTCCTCGTCCACTAAGGGCGTCGCTTCACTACTCTCCAAAGTGTGACTGAATCCTGCACTAGAACATGGAAAGATACGTTGCCGTACGTTTTGTCTTTTGTGCATGTGGAGAGTAGAAGAGCAAGGCTCTAAGGTTCATTCTTAGGAGCGTGGTCTCGTGGTGTGTCTTCCCATCTTCCAGCGGAAGGTTCGTTCTCAGGAGTGTGGGGCCCTCCTCTTCGTTCACCTCCTCCCGCTCGTCATCTTCCCCCTCCTCCTTGCACTCGTCCTCGTGGTTCCTTGTCCTCCCCTCGCTCCACTACTCTCCCGCATGCACAAAAGGCAAAAAAAACGGCAATGCATCTCTCCATGTTCTAGCGCAGGATTCAATCTCACTTGGCACATTTGGCGAGTAGTGGAGCGCGGCCCGTAGTGGTTTTGTGCATGTAGAAAGTTGTGGTTTCATCGGGCCTTGATGCACTGCTTTCCACATGCACAAAAGACAGAATATGGCAGTGCATCTTTCCGTGTTCTAGCAGAAGATTCATTCTCATTTTGCACGTTCGGAGAGTAGTGCAGCGAGGCCCATTTGGGCCATTTCATTTCCCTCACAGGCACAACCGGGCCCGTCTCTGCTATAAGCCACAAAACTACAAAAAAACTGAGTGGGGATCCGGGCCGCCCGGCTGACCGGCAGGGGCCCAGGGGACGTCCCGGGCGGCCTGGCCGGTCTGTGACACCCAACCTCACGCCCAGCACGACTTCCTGATCGGAGTAGGATGTGGGCCTGGAAGTGCGAAAAGGGGTGTGCCAAGGATTTTTGGGAAAGTGGAGTCCCAGGTCAGAACTGAGATCTCCTGTGGCAGGGTCTTTCGGGGGCACGAGTGCAATTTGGCGGAGAGGGCGGACCGCCTTTGGTTACAAGGCAGATGTTGTGCGCGGGTTGCTCAAGGTCGGGCGAGCCATTGGTTTCGGGGACGGTGGTTCGTGGGCGGGTCCCCTCGGGGTAAATGGGACTCCGATGAGTCAGGTCGTCGGGAGCTGACACGTGGCGCTGGTCGCCCCGCGTTCGAGTTAGACCTTCGGAACTCCGGGGTTCTCTGATCGCCGCATCGTCGGCAATTCCCACAGGGTGTGCTGGGCCAGTACGGGGCTATGGCAGGCCACGAAACGACGCTGAGTTGGTGGTACGGAAGAAGAAGGCGGAAGGGAGGGAAATTGGTGGAGACAACGACAAATCCGGGGTGGGTGAGGTAGTAGGTATGGTCCGGAGAGGGGAAATCAGAGCACCGGGGGTCGTTAGTAGTGGCGCAGTGAAAATTCCCGGGGACATAGTCGGTTTTCGGTTAGGCAGGGGTATCTCTGTCTCAGAATCTCGTTTATCCAAGGGGTGAAGTAATCCGGGTCGTATGATGAGTCGGAATTCCAGGATCGCGTCATTGTGTCATTG